ACGAAGATGAAATCACAGCTCCTGAGCCAATTTACGAATTAGCACCTGTAATTATTGTGTCCCTCTCTAATTCTAAATATATTAATAAAAGCAAGAGGTTAAAGGTGGGAAAATTAATTTTTTAAAAGATATCCATTTTATTTATTCGATATAAATATTCTTAATACTTTCTTTCGCTATTCAAAAAATGTTGTGCACTACTTTCAATAGCTGCTTTAAGTATTGATTTTAAGACTGGATCTTAGTCCAAATTATTATTATTCTTTTAGGCCCGATTATTAATTGAAAAATATAAATTAAACGTATTTTCAGTGTTGTTAAAATAGCGCACTACTTTTTTCAGTAGCGGTAGCTTTAGCGGGCTACTTTTTTAGAAAATAGCGATAGCGGTAGCTCGCTACTAATTTAGAAAGTAGCGAAGTAGCGCCATAATAAATACATCTAAAAATTATTAAAATATATTTTTTATTAAATCTAAAATTATAATCCTTTTATTTTATTTAATTTTGAAATTTAAAAATATACATTATAAATCATAAAAATGTGTGAGATTGTTGAAGATAGCGAAATTTCTTTGGAAAATGGAAAAATATAGATTATCCTTTCCCAAAATTCAAAAAATACTGAAGAAAAATTACTACTGGATATCGGTTTCGATGCAAGATATGGCGCAAAATTTTATCCTCAAATCATACAAGCAGCCTTAATTTGAAAAAACATTTAAAGGTAATATATTAAACAAATTTAATATCAATGTGTAGGCTAATCCTTAATTATTAAAATAAATTTAAATCAAAGACCAATCATTTTTTTTATATATTCATAAATTTAAACTATTTAAAACATTTTAAAATAGTTATTTCAATCATTTTTATGTACTTATCTTCTACATAATTTTTATTCTAAGTATTACTGTTATAATTTTAGACTGTTCACACCTCAAATTATAAAGAGATTGAAAAATATCTCAAAAGTTTTGGGGTAATGGAAGAAGATACATCCACTTCCAAATCAAATTTAATTCAAACAAAATTAAGCAATTTGGATTCATCAACACCAGGTGTATCTAAAAATTGGATGACAAAGTCATCATGAACTTTATAATAGATAGTGTTCAACCATTATCCTTGGTGGATAATGGTTCTTTTATATGATAAACACTTTTTCTCTAAGTACCAAGATATTTTGCCGGCAGACATTGATGGCAAGAATTTTGGATAGCTTTAAAAAAATGAAAGAATCTTTAATATTAAATCTATCAGATGTCTCCCACATCTGTACAACAGCAGATAGATGGACGCACAATAGAAGGTAAAAATATTTATTTTCTGATTTATAATATGATATTATATTTTTAGAGCTTATTTAAGAGTGACCGCACATTGGATTGATCCAAATCTAAAACGAAAATCTGTAGTATTAGCTCTAAAAAGAATAATTGACTGTCAAACTTATGAATTCTAGCAAACATTATTTCAGAAACCATGTCTTACAAAATTCAGAACAAGGTTTGTAAGATGATTACAGATAATGGGTCTAATTTCCTGAAGGCTTTCAGGTTTTAAATTTATTATAATTTTTTTATAATATGATATAAATATAGAATATTTGGTGAAGATAATAACAATACTTGTAATATTCATGACAATAATATTGAAGATGGAGAACAATTAAAGGAAGCGGATGATGAAATAATGGAGTTTGAGATAATTGATGTTCATGACGGTTTTAAATTATTTTATATTTAATTTTTCAGCAATATAAAATAAAATTTATAATATTATAGGATCTTCAATAAACTCTTCTATGTTACCTAGCCATCATCTTTGTTCCTGCCACAACATAAATTTAGTTGCTACAGTGGATGCTGAAGAAGCTTTATTAAATGAGGATTTTAAAAGAGTATCAAGATCTACATTTTCTAAATGCCAAGCTCTTTGGAATAAACAAAATAAGTCATCTAAGATGTCTGATATTTTCAAAAAAAAAATAGGACGTTATTTATTGACACCAAACACTACAAGATGGAATAGTGTTTACAATGCTATGAAACTTTTAGTATTGTTTCTAGATGAGAAAAAAAATGGAAATGAATTATATATTGGATCAAATAGGAATACAGTATTTTAATGTGGAGGAGCATACTTTTATTAAAGAATATACTGAAGTATTTTTAATTAATAAATAATTTTATATTATATTTAACCATTTTAATTTTTTAGGTTATGCAATATGTTGCTGCCTCACATAGGCGTAGCCAGGATTTTCATAAAGGGGGGATTAAAGAAGTAATAATTTATTCCAAACAATTATAAGAAATTTATTTATTAAAAATAGGTAGACATATAGTTGATTTTACTCTATTATATAAAATTAGTTATAAAAACTAGGTAAAATTCCACTTTTACAGACATATTTGACAGTTAGAGAATATATTACAGTTAATAATTTAACAAATTTTACTAATTAATGCTCTTGATATTAAATATAGCAACAATTTGCATTCAATTATTTAACGCCATCTATTTATTTTAAGTAAAAATGATATTAAAATTTAATCTTCATATTATTTATCCCACAATGTCTTAAGATATTTTCTGATGTCCTTAACAATATTTTATAGTTTTCTGTAAAATATATAATTCGCTATATTGGTAAAAATTACTTGATTGTCATTTGATAATTAGATATAATTAGATATACTGTAAATCTACGACATATAATATTACTGTTTGTATTGTGCTTTAATATTTTTTTAATTTATGATTTGATTTTATCAATAGTTTTATAATTATATTTGATATATTATATTATTTAGTAATTTTATGGATCTATTATTAATAATTATAATACATTTCACTTCTGTCTTAAGACTTATCTTTGGCTTATATTCCATTTATTAAAAAACATTTTTGGTTCATTTTATATATTTATAAATTTATTTTCCCAAAAATCTATAAATTATGATGAATAGTTTTATAAAAAAATATCAACTTTTACATTCTTTCTTTCAAATTATTATTTAAAATATATGCATACATATTTGAGGGTCAGGGAGTAGGGGGAGGACTAAGGGGGATATTTTTTATTAGCTAAAAATGATATTTACAAAAAGTGATAAATTTCTGAAGGGGGGGGAATTTCCCCTTGCCCCCCCCCCTGGCTACGCCTATGCTGCCTCACTTAAAATCTTAGAAGGGCAAGATAATATGAGCATGGGATATTATGTTCCCACACTGAGTATATTAATTATCAAGCTCAAAATAATCAATAATCTAAAATTATACCAACCACTGGTAGAGTCTATGCTAAAAGGCATTGAGAAAAGGTCAAAACTTTATTTTTATTTTCTATTATACAATTATATAAAATGAATGATTTATTGCTTGATTAGCCATAATTTAAATTGGCTTAATTTACAACACAGTCTATAATATTAATATAAAATTCAAAATTAATAGATTATTAATTATCTTGTGAATAATAATTATATTTTTAAAATTTCTTTATTTACCATAATTTAATGCTATTTAATATTTTTTTATAAATGTAAATCTCAGATAAATTTAAATTTTGAAAATTAAAAAGGTATTTTTTTTTTATAATAAATACAATCGCTTTATATAAATTAAATTTCCAGATCTGTATGATGATGACAATGTAATAGCTGCTATGCTATCGTTCATCCTAGTTTCAAGTTAAATTGGCCATACATTAATTTGACTGAATCTAAAGGGCAACTTGATAGGCTGATGGTAGCGTTAAAAAATGTCATGCCTAACCACGATACTAATATTATAGCAAGATAGAAACCGCGGCCTTCCATAGACGTTTTTGAAATAAATAATAATATTATTGAACCTCTAGATGCTTTTTTTAAATCTAAAAATACTCATTTAAATATTTTTGATGATTTTTTTCATATAAAAAGTGCGTTTATAAAATTTAATACTGCGTTCCTTCAAGTGCTAGTGCTGAACGATTATTTAGTATGGCAAAGCTTATACTTTCTGATCGTCGCTCTAGACTTGGGGATGACAGTACCGAAATGTTATTATTATTAAAGTGCAATAATAATTAAATTATATATATATATGTAACAAATTATAGTCATGTTTTTATACCAATATTTTATTTGTGGAAATAAAGTTACGTAAAAAATATTTAAAAAAAAAATCAAAATAACGTAAAAAGTAGCTATCAGCGCGTTACTCATTTAAAAACGATAGCGGTAGCGCGCTACTTTTAAAAGTAGCGTTTAACAACACTGCGTATTTTATAAAGTTAAATAAAATAAAAATCACTAATTGCTTTGTCCTTAAAGAGAAATTCTAATTACCATTATATTATAATAATAGAAGCGAAAGCATTATTTTCTACTTTACTTTTTAGCCTGACCAATTTTTTTGATTTAAATCAGAGCCCGAATTTCTTTTGAAATTTACCATCGAGCCTAGTTTTTTTAAACTTTAAGGAGCTTTGCATGGCGCTAATCCCAATTCAACATTAAGATACTACAAGCATGATCATAATCAACATAAAATCAATGCAATCTTATCCTTTACATTATCTTGCAATAGACTAAATTTGTCAGCTCAATTTAAATAAAATTTTGAATCGATAAAATTTGTTTTGTTTATATAATAGAAAATCTAAGCCCGGCTCAATTTACAGGCATGCGTCAAAGAAAATTCATTAAGCATTAAAAAAATGAATTAATTTATTTATGTTACCATAATTGATTTTACAGGGCGTTAAAGAAAATCCGTTAAGCATTAAAAAAGGAATTAATTTATTTATGTTACCATAATTGATCTATATATTTTTAAAAAGGCTGAGGTAATAGTTTTAAGCTTATAACTAGGTTTTGCCGGTGTACATCTTTAGTTTTTAAATTTAAATTCGGATCGGTTTACTATGAACAAGCGCAATTCAATTCAAAACCCTAGTTAATTATTAGATCTAAAAGCAATGACAAAATATTGTACAATCATATTTACCCATAAATGCAAGATAAGTCGATGACAACGTCAATCATATCACAACAGAGTTCATATGTTTGCATATCGACCGGATTGCTATCTGTGGCAATATAGATTTTACTGACTACATCGCACAAAAATACTTTTTCAATGCCCGAGCCCTAAAAGATGCAAAAAAAATGAATATTGATTCATAAAATATGAATCACTTCTTGGTGCAAAATGTTAATTCGTATAATATTATACTTTGAGGTTTGATAATTAATAAAATTCAATATAATATTATTTTTTATTGTTATCTTATTAAAGTTATTTTTCAAAAATAACTAGTCACATCATAGTTGTAATTTACATTTTCCTGTATCTGGGTGGGTTGGTAACTTCTCCTCCCACCATCAGCAGATCGCTCTCGCTATTTTTTCTTCATCCCGTATTTTTAAGAATTAAAGCATTTTAACATTATTGCGAAATAGTTTTGTCTTACCAATGCGACCATTGTGAAACTAATGTTAATAATAAGGACAGACACTGTCCACTACCGATTTTGCCAAAGCCGCCCACGGCATACTAAATGCAATATTTTAATTATTCTTGCACTAAAATCGGTGGGCATCCCCTCCAGATTGGAATCAATCAGCATCTTTAGAACCAATGGGAAACGCACTGGTGGAGTGTTCTCAATTCCATGGTCAAGGGATCAGCTTCTTGGTTGAGACTTCACCTGTATTGATCCTAATACCTCATCCAAACTATGGAATCTATCAAAATCATCCAATATAGTTCCATCGATCCTTCTCATACCTTCATACTTATCGCTTCCTCTATTCTAACCTCTTTCAGTAGCAAAGCTAGCAACTGGATATTACTTTATTTAAATTTTTAAAATGGTTATCCATTATGCAAATATTTAATATCAGAATGACATTTCTATAATCAATATTGATAAAACCAAAATTTGTTTAAATAATAAGAATGAAAATTTTTATTTTGTTATTAACAATATGAATTATAACAAAAAAAAATTGGTATAACTATTATATTGATAAAATTTTCAAATCTGTTGAATTTAATAATAAAATTCTTACCTTAGCCATGCATCCATGATCTATTGTACATATAAAATCAAATATTATATTAATTGATATCTACTTTATCTTGTATATATAAATACCCAATTTTGAAAGCCCCTTTATGAAAAAAAAAGAGAGATGCAATTTTCTTGAGCTGTATTATAATCATGATTTTTATACAAAATAATAAAACTCTTAATAGTGAAGTAACAAAGTGTTCCCTTTTGAAACGGAGATCCCACGTTCGATACTGGCAGATAGGGATGGGAACCAATATAAAAAACCCAATTGTATTGGTATTGCGTCTAAAATATTGGTTACCCGTAATTTGTAGTTTTAAATAAACATGAAAAAAAAATCATGAAGCATTACCATAAAAACAGGACTAACAACTCTCAAAATTTTACTGAATCCTAATTCTTTTTTTAAACTAGAAATTTATTAAGTGATAAAAAATTTAGGCCTTGCCCGGTTCGGGTATCATTTTAAAAAATTGAAATTCGGCCTGCCCCTGTTATAGGTAAAGATTTTGCGAGAAATAGAAAAAAAAAAAAAATTCAAAACAAGATGAGAAAATAACTAAATATGATTACAAACAGAGAACAATAAAAGCATTATTAGAAAATACTACTAATTTGAAATAAATAATACAAACAAGGAATGATAAAATTATATTAAAAATAATGAATAAAATAAAACTAATTGGAAAAATAAATAAATACCATGAGATCGACATTATACATAGGAATAGGATATCCTAATCATTGTTGTAGTAGGAGGAGGGGAGAAAATAATGATAGTAAAGGTTTAAGTTATTTTGGGTATTACGTAAAAATTTATGTGCAGTTATTAAGAAGCTACCATATTAATTATTTGTTCTATTTATTTTTAAGGAAAGCTACTGATTTTAATTAATTTTTTACAGTAAGAAATATATCTGAAATTTCCTAGAGAAACAAGTAAATGGGATTCAATACAACAAATTTATATTTCAATGAAAGAATGTTTATGAATGTTTTATTGCCCTTAAGTCTTTTATTAGTATCGTTAAATTTATTGTAGTTTAAAATATAAATGAATGAATAAACAATTTGCAATAAAATATCAATATTGTGGCAATTGAAATTTTTTTTTAAAAAAAAAAACAAAAACGCAAAAAAACAACGTTTGTTTTTCATCCCTAATTTTTATATATTTTACGGACCCCTTCATCATAGTAATAGAGTTCATTTCCTTAAATATAATAATATGGAAATTCAACTTTCTAAATTCTACCTCTATTAAAATTTTTATTCTCGTTCTCCGAAAACAAATTTATGACAAAATATAAATGCTATAAAATAAAGTCGATGAAAGTAAAGTCGTTATCATTTTTAGGAAAAGAAACGCCTTTCGTTTTTTTAAAAAGATAACGAAACTATTTTAAGTAACGGTAACGCAAAAAGTTATTTTAAATTTTTTCTTAAAAAATATTATATTTTTTTACATTTTTAAATATTTAAAGCCGAGTTTCTAATTTAGATCAACCACCAAAGTTCTTCATTTATATTTTAATTTTTGTTGTTGATACTCAAGATTGTTAATTTGATTAATATTGAATCAATCAAAGTATCGTTCAATTGTTTCTTTACTTAAGTAAATATAACTAATATAATATAAAGAAAGGAAAAACATATTAGTAAATATAACTAATATAATATATTATAAAAATGGAAGAGTATATTAGTAAATATAACTAATATAATATAAAAAAGAGCACATATAAAAATCAACGGACTCGGTATTCAACTTACTTAACGGGTTTTTCGAAGTAGCAAAAATTGCTCGCCCGATCTGACCAGGCGCGTATATAGCGGTGGGAGAGAACAGGGGGCAAATCCCCTCCGAAGCCAAAAAAATGCAGATGCCGGATATATTTTTCAAAAATATTATTGTTTATATTAATTTATTTTTGTTAATATTTATTCCTATCTCATATTAAATATATATTTAATTACACTTATTTATCACATTCATCTACAAAGTTATTTTATCAATTAATTTCGATTCCAGGTTTTCTTTAGCGTAATATTTATCTACCATTTTCAAATTTCTAGTCAAATAATAATCATTTCTGAAACTCCTTGTCCAGTAGGTAAAAAGAAATTGCAAGCTTGTCGAACGAGATGGAGTCTCCGCCATCAAGTATTAACAGCTTTTATGGAGTTAGAAGAGGCAATTATTAATGCGATTACTGAAATATCACAATGGCCTGTAGGAAATATTTCCTCAGACGCAAGAAAATTATTGGATTCAATACTTATTCCTAGTGTTGTTAAATAGTCGAGTTCTCCAACTTGAGTCGTAAACTCAAGTCGTGACTCGAGTTATGAATTTGAGTAGTGAACTCAACAGGTTAACATAAATTTTATGAAACTCGATTACTTATATTAGTATTGTTAATTGTTTAATACCCAGACCTGGCACTTGGCTCTAAAATCGACTAATCAGCTATGACATGAACCCCGAGCACAGACCCATATATTTTAAGTTATTTCTTATTGAACTTATTAAAGTATATAAATATATGGTTATTAGAGGTATCAATCGATAGATAATTTAAAAACCTATTGAATAGGCAACAAGCCAAGCGCTACCTCTCGATGGGTGAAGCTATTAGTGAGAGGGGGGGGAATGATTAATTTTATGTACCAAATAAGCCTATATGGTGAATATGAGTATAACCTGGTGGAGGGGGAAATATATGATAGTTACTCATATAACTGATCATGATTCGTGAGACGTTGCTTTAATTATAATATTTTTAACAAAAGAATATAAAAATGAAAATTTTATTAATTCGATGTTAAATAATTATAAAAATATTATAAAAACTAGGCCAAAATATGTTCAGGTATTTTTATTCCTATTATAAACGTATGGGCATTATTTCCGCACCTTTGTATAAGGTCCGTGAAGTTTGCCCACAATTTTTGATTTTCAATGGTTTATCAGTTAGTATGATTTGTACCCGATTTGTACCGTTTTCAGTTCGATTTGTACCATCACCGTTTTTGAGATATTCAAAGAACAAAATTGGGGGCCAACTTCACGACAGCCCCCCAACTTTTGAATTTAAAATTAAAAAGTGCATAGGTCGATAAAGAATGATTTGTACCGATTTGTACCGTTTTCAGTTCGATTTGTACCATATCGTTTTCCAGCTATTGACCAATATGGCGCCAAAAATAAAAAACACTCAACATTTATTTTTTAAAATTTTTTAACGTACAACGATAGAGAATTTTTTTCTCTTCCTAATGATGCCTCAAATTAAGTTTTATCTTCATTATTTATTTCGGAAATCAAATTTTAAACCTTATATTAGAGCGTAAAGTTAGCCCCCCCCCCCGATATTCAATATTTGAGATTTTTCAAATTTTTAAAACGGGATTGATTTGTACCGTTTCAAACTCGATTTGTACTATTATCGTTTTCCAGCTATTGACCATTAAAGATATGGCGCCAAAAATAAAAAACACTCAAAATTTATTTTTTTAAAAATTTTATAACGTACAACGGTATAGAATTTTTTCTCTTCCTGATGATGTCTTAAATTAAGCTTTATCTTTATTATTTATTTCGGAAATCAAATTTTAAACCTTATATTAGAGCTTGAAGTTAGCCCCCCCCCCCCGATATTCAAATTTTTAAAACGGGATTGATTTGTACCCGATTTGTACCGTTTCAAACTCGATTTGTACCGTTTCAAACTCGATTATACTATTACCGTTTTCCAGCTATTGACCGTTAAAGATATGGCGCCAAAAATAAAAAACACTCAAAATTTATTTTTTTAAAAAAATTTTTTAACGTACAATGGTAGAGAATTTTTTTCTCTTCCTAATGATGCCTCAAATTAAGCTTTATTTTCATTATTTATTTCGGAAATAAAATTTTAAACCTTATATTATAGCGTGAAGTTAGCCCCCCATCCCCGATATTCAAAATTTGAGATTTTTCAAATTTTTAAAACGGGATTGATTTGTACCCGATTTGTACCGTTATTTGAGAAAGCATTTAAGAGGGGAAAGGCTAACATTTTAAACGTA